AGGCAATATTATCGCTTATCGCAATAAATTTTGAGACAATTAATCGCCCAGCAAAATTTGTTATCGTGACAGGGCTGTCAACCCTGTTTACTTAATGCAGCAACATAAAGGATGTGTTGGAAAAATATGCGTTGTTCAAAATGGGATGTCCGAATAAACAGGATTCAGCTGGGTTTTTTCTTTAAAACTTTATTTTCAATCTTCTGACTCCAATCAGGTTCACAGAACAGCACTCAGCACACAGGCCTCAGTCAGACCTTGGGCTGATATCAGGAAAACCCAAACACAGCAGCGCAACTCTGCTCAGAAGCAGAGACTCTAACACCCTGACAACTTCTTCTACTATAATAATGAATTCAGCTTATAATGTACATCTCTTCCTGGTTACACCCCAGAGGTGTTACCTTTTACATCAAACGTCAGAACGTCACTCAGTTTTGTTTAGGCTAAGAGAAAGAACACATGAAAACACACCAACTCTTTGTCAGCTTCAATCTTACAGACTGAAATGATCAGAAAGTATAAAATACAAAACTGAATCTAATACTCAATTAATCAGTTACAAAATTTGTTCACTCCCATGGAGGAAGAAAAAACTTTGTTCCAAAAATTTTATTGAGAGACCAGCTAACCAAATCCATAAAAATTAAAATATCCATAATTTCTGGTTTTGGATGAAAAATGTAGAGAAAAGCACGAAAGTGGCGTGCCTGAGACTACACACACTTCTTTTATTTATTGCACAACCCAAATAAGTTGTGTCGAAACAATCTTCCCGTAAATAAACTTCCTGATAAACCACACAATGATGCAGTCAGCTCTGGTGCCACCAAGCAGACAGAGCAGCACTATACGGTTCATACCGGAGAGATTTTCTGATAAATATCCTTTTAGAGCCGGCTGAAATGCCCACAGTGAGCAAAACCCTCATTTTAGTATCAAAGCATGAAACTGTGATAAAGTTGGTCATTTTGTGACACAGACACGTGTCGAGGTAGGAATCGAGGTGGAGGCATGAAGAAGGTTGGTTTTAAACTCAGTCCAAGTGGCAGATTTTACTGAACTGTTTCAAAGCAAAGGTCTGCAGAGGGACGTTTGTTTGGCTTCCATCCAGCATACATCACAGGGTGGGGGTACGGATATGAGGCTGGTTTGGATTGATTACGTAACCCGCTGTTATGCTCAAAGTGAAAGAATCTGAGGCGAAGCTTGTGGTTGGCAAACTGGAGCCTCCTTGACTGGAAAAGACAACTTGTTTTCCTTCAAACCTCATCTGGTCCCGTTTTTTCCAATCCGGTCTTTGTATGTGTGGTTTGTCCTCCCTGCTGTCCACTCTGCTGTCATCTTGTTTTTATTCCCGCTCACTTCTCAGGTCCTCGTTTTGCAACYTCTCGCACTGCAGATTCCTCTCTCTCTCTCTATCGTTCGAGGTCAGTTGTTTCTTTTTCCTTCACCTCCACTGGCCTTCACATTTACTCCATAGCTGTGTCATCACTTTTCACTTTCCATCTTCCTATTCTCACACTCGTCCGTCCCCTCAGGGGCTTCTTCCCCTTTGTCTGTCCAATGTTTTGCTTTATCGTGATACAGGTCTGTCCTGACCCCTGCTGCAACCCTTCGACTGGTAAACGTTCCTTTCCCACCGTTCTCCAGTTCGTCCACCTGTTGATCTTTTCTCAGAAGCGGGCTTACGAGCGTCAAGCACAATCAGTAACAGTTTTATGTAACTGGAACACATTCTGGGAAGGACTTTTAGTGCTACTCGAAATGCTTCTTTATCCTTAAAATTATGTTTGTGGTTTTGCAGAGAATTGGATTTATGGATGGATTTTGGACGTGTTTTTGAAACCTCTAATTTTTTGTTACGGAATAAAAAATATATTATTTAAAACTCATTTTTTATTCAAAACTTTCAATCTTATTATTGGGAAACAATCACGCGCAGAGATGGATAGTTGTTCTATGTAAACCTAGGTTTAACTGGCTTTGCTTTTTTGGATTGAAAATTGATCATTTAGTTTGAAGCAGACTAGTTTGTTGTCTTCAAATCTTTTTAAAAAGTGGTTTTGTAGGAAGAGTATGACCATCTAGTATCATATCTGTTGTAGATAGCTCTTTAAACAGCCTGTGAAGAATCGGACTGTCTGAACACAGACAAAACAAATAAGATTGGACTGAGTTGATGTGATTTTTCTGATGCTAAAGAGTATTAGCTGTGATGGCCATCTGAAACCAAAAGTTAGGTCGATTTATGTCTAACGATTGTTTTCTGGGAGCTTCATCTGYTAGTTTATGGGATATTTTGCTAACAGATAAACACATGCACACACAGGTAATTGCACGATCGCCTACTTTTATGATGCTTAAAATTGTTTCTATTTTGTGTTGAATAATTTTTTACATGGAATCATTTCATTTTTTAGCAGTGGTACATGTGGTGTAATACTGAGCCCGTGAGGGGACATGGGGAATTTTTTTCTTTTGAGTTCCCACGCAAAATTATTGCGTTACCTCGCAATACCTTTTGTGTTCCCTTGCAAAAGTCGTTAAACACTGTTGTGCCTGCCAGTTTATTAACAAACTCACATGTTCACCATAAGCGAGTTAGCCTACTGCTTTAATTCAGCTTCAGAATGAATATATCACACAGCCA